TAATGATTTACATAGTGCCTGGACTAATTTGTATCCCCACCAACAGAGTATATGGGTTTCTTTTTCCCTTCATTATTACCAACCTTAGTTCTTTGTTTACTAATGTTAGACTTTTTGACTGGGTGAAGTAGAATCTCAGTATCATCTGAAAATAGGAATAAACTAACCTCTTTCTTTACTGTTAGTATCCCTTTTATTTCTTTCTCTTACCTTATTGCTCTGGTTAGGAATTCAAGCACTGTAACTGAGTAAGTGTGGAGAGAGTGAACACTTTTGTCTTGCTCCTGATACTAGATGAAATGATTTCACGTTCCTTCTATTTAGTACAATGGTGGCTACTGATTCTCATAAATAGCCTTTATAATGTTAATGTATAATCCTTCTATTCCTAGTATCTTCTGTGTTTTCACCATGAAAATATATTGAATTTTTTCAAAAGGTTTTTCAGCTTCAATTGAGATGATTATATGACTTTATTCCCTTCAATTCTATTTATGTGCTGTATTCCACTTATTAGTGAATGTTGAACTATTTTTTTATTCCTTGGATGAAACAAACTTGATCATGGTGTATGATCTGTTTGAAGTTTTGTTAGATTTGTTGTACAAGTATTTTATTGAGGATTTTTACATCTAAGTTGATTAACGAAATTGGCCTATAGTTTTCTGATTTGTGTCTTGTTACAAGAGCAATACCGCCATCATAGAGTGAGTATGATAACATTCCTTCCCTTCCTATTTTATGGAATAGTTTGAAGAGCATTGGTGTTAGTTCTTCAATGAATGGCCTGTTAGAATTCAGCAATTAATCCATCTGATCTGAGCTTTTCTTTGTGGGAGACTGTTACTCCTTCAGCCCCATTTTTTGTAATCTATCTGTTTAAGTTGTTTATATCATTTTTTAAGTTTTAATGGGCTATATGTGTATAAAAATTCATAAATTTCTTCTTGATTTTATAATTTGTTGGAATACAGGTTTTCAAAGTATTCCTTAATTTTCCTCTGGATTTTGGTAGTACCTCTTGTAATATACCACTTTTCATCTCAAATGTTATTAATTTGATCTCTTCATCTCTCTCTCCTTTCTCCTCTTCTTCTCTCTCCCCCCTTTTCTTCCTTTCTCCCTATCCCTTTCCCCCACCTCTCATTAGTTTCACTAAAGATTTGTCAGTCTTGTTTGTCCATTCAGAAGGCCAAATTTTTGTTCTGTTATTTGTATTCTTTTAAAAAGTACTAAAAGCTTAAAAAATATTTAACTTCTTCCAGGACTAGTGGTCCACACCTGTAGTTTGAGTTACTCAGGAGGCTGAGGATCTAAGGATCATGGTTTGAAGGCAGCTTGGGCAGGGAAGTTCTCCCTGCAATTAAACACAGAAAAGCTGGAAGTGGAGCTCTGGCTCAAGTGGTAGAGTACTAGTTTTCAGCACAAAAGCTCAGGGACAACACCAGGCCCCGAGTTCAAACTGAGTCTCTCTCTCTCACACACACACACACACACACACACACACACACACACACACACACACACACACACACACATGCACACATGCACAAATAACTTCCATGAACAAAAAGAATAATAAATATTTTAATGCAGGTAGTATTGAACTTATTTCTAAGCTCTAATAATTAAAATTTTTTGTAGTACTAATGACTGAACCCAAGACCTTGGCATGCTGTCTTTTTCTTTGCCATGCCTCAGACATTTTGCTTGTACATTGTTTCTATGGTAGGGCTTTTGTTTTTTATAACTGTCCTGGCTGGCCTTGTGAACTCATGTTCTTTCTGTCCCTCTCTCCCAAGTAGCTTGGATTATAGGTCTGAATCACCATAGACAGCTTTGTTTGCAAGATTTGTTTGTAAAACCTTTACCTTGCAAATGTGGAAAGTTTAAAAACTTTATATTTTTGTTAAACAAGATGTCATGAAAACACATCATTTATGTTCATTCAAGGTACAATGACTCCTTAAATAGTGGGTTGGCTACTAATTGTATTTTAAACCCAGATGTCTGCTATAGTTTCCAGGCAGTGTAAACACTGCCTATGTACTGTTGTTTGTTTGCTGAGATTTTCCTCCAAGCATCACAGTTATAGCTCCAGCCTCATTTTGCCTCCTTCCTACGAGGGGAGCAGTCTTCCCACTTCACAAAGCCTAACTTTAGGTATTACTCTACCTTTCAGTTTTTCTCACTTTCCTGGGGATCTTGCCTCAGCACTCTCACCTGAGTCTCACATCTTCTATGCTCTTTATCCAGTATGTTCTGTTCCCTCAATCTTTTAGTGTGTATCTGTATTTGGATCGTGCTGGTAAAATCTCAAGCATACACATGGATAGGCAGAACAACCTACTCCTAAATCTTTCCAGTCCCCACACTCTCTGCCAGCCAGACTTCTTAAATGTGTATTCTTCCCTCCCTCTTCTTTCCTCATCATCTACGGGCTTCTTACCACACTGCCTTCTGGATTTGGAATGGCGAAACACCACTTTTGATGAGGTTACTGAAGGGCTATTTGCAATTCCAGTATATGCATGTCTAATTTTGCCTAAATGGGCCCTACACAGCATTTGGCATTGTTCTTCACATTTGACATATGTGTCTTAATAACTTCTATTCTTTTACTCTTTAAATTTCCAGGGACTATTTTCTCCTAGTTTTCCTATTTCCTTTCTGATCTCTTAATTACCTTAACGTATTTCTTTCTTTTTTTTTTTAGTCCGGTCATGGGGCCTGAACTCTGGGCCTGGGCGCTGTCCCTCAGCTCTTCAGCTCAAGGCCACTTGAGCCACAGCGCCCTTTCTGGCTTTTTTCTTTTTGCTTATGTGGTGCTGAGGAATCAAACCCAGGGCCTCAGGCATGCAAGGCAAGCACTCTACCACTGAGCCACCTTCC